AGTACGGCAAAGGGCAGGTGTAGGCTACGGCGGCGGGTAAATACGTCAGACGGGGTGAACAAAACAGTTCCGACCGGAGAGGCCGTACAGGTCAGGGCTACAAGGGTGGATGTTCTCGGTGCTATTTCCGTGTCTGCAACAACGACAAGTTTGTAAGATTCAGGAAGAGAATCCACCAAACAAGAGGTTGGCAGAGGTGTAAGGGCAACTTTTGCACGTGAGCAATCTATGATGGCCCGATCACGCGAAAGAAAGTCCCATCCAAGAATAACTTCGTGGGAGCATGATGCCAGCGCAAAAAATTCAATGGCATAAAGTTCACCTTGGATAATGACACGTGCAGTGCACACAGCTGTAGGTTCTATGCACTGCGAGTTGGCCGTGTCGAGCATCAGGTCCGAAAGAGGCGTCGTCACGTTTTTCAACTTGCGGCATAAGGTCTCACAGATTATGGAAACGGTGGCCCCTGTGTCGATTAGCGATTGTGTGGTGGTGCCCTCAACATTGACGTCAATAACGTTTTGCGGCGAGAAAGATGGAGGCCTTAAGCAGTTCGAATTGTATGTAGCTGTTGCCTCCGGAGCTGCAGCGATCAGTTTCCCTCTTCCGTAGCAGATCGGCGACACATAGGTGACAGGGAGCGTCGTCGGGGCGATCGTGACCGATGGTTTGCGTAGGGTCGAGGACCGTCAGTGGTGTACCTTGATGGCGTCCTAGACGACGACGCCATTGACCTGCCCACGGTGTCGACTGGAGGGGAATCTCGGCGACAGTGGCGGGCGACGTGTCCAGCGATACCGCAGGCGAAACAGATGGGCCTATTATCCGTCGTCCTCCAAGCGTCTGAGCGACGGTAAAATAGAGCTGAAGATCTCGCGTAGGGATACGGCGCAGCAACTGGGGTTGTAGGCAAGACATAGGGTGGCGTGGCCGGTTGAGCATATGGCATACGCTGTTGCGTAGGACGAGCAGCGACGGCGGCGTACGTGAGAGGCGTAGTGACTGGTGGTTGCTGATGCACCGGCGGAAGGGCTTCAGCGACTTGGGTACGAATGACGTGTTGGAGGTCTGGTGCCAAAGCTTGCGTGGGCTCATGTGTCAGTGGCAGCAGTGACAGCTGGCGCGCTACCTCTTCGCGGACGAAGTCCTTGATTGTCGAAAGCAGCGGCTGCTGATCGGTAGGATGGGCAGCTAGGTGCAAGCTTGCGAGCGTGTCTGGCGTCGTGAGGGCTTGACGAGCAATTGCGCGCTGCCTACGCAATTCATCGAAGCTTTGACAGAGGGAAACGAGGACAGCAATTGTGGGGGGATTCCTCGCGAGCAACATCTGAAAGGCACCGTCGTCAATGCCTTTCAATATGTGCCGGATTTTTTCTTCCTCAGGCATGGTAGAGTTGATGCGGTTGCATAGATGCAACAAATCTTCAATGTAGCCCGTGTAGGTCTAGTGACAATAAACTGCCTGACAAGGGTAATACTTTTGCACTCGCCAATAGTTTTTGGTAGCTGGCCCAAATTTAGTTCTCTACACAAAACTGCAGCACGGCCTTTTACCTTAGGAGGCTTCTGTGCACCAACTCGCCCAACGTCACACTCTGCAAGGGCATATACCTTGTCTTAGACAACTCCAGGCTAGAATCTCATCGAACAACCATTGGCTGTCCATTTCACGCCGAACAAAGCAGTAATACTGAAGGCGAAAACGAATGCACAACTTAACAGAACATACGATTTGCGACCAATAAAACTTTGTACATACTGTACAGATACGTTGTCCCTCAATTACACGTGCCAATGACCGCACATCTCAACTCACCTGTGATTCACGCACTCGTGATGATTAACTTCGTGAATATGCATGAATTTCTTTCGTGAAAACAATAATTTTCTATCTGGCGTGATACAAAAAATAGAATTCCAGTGAATAAGCTAAAAAAGCAACTTATGCTGACGTCGACGCTATAAATACGTAGGAAGGCGACTGTGATGTCACTTACCTAGCACCACTTGTATAATATTCATTTATGTTTTCAGCACAATGTATCTCGTACGCCATTCTCGTCCTTAGCAATGATGGTTGTGTGGGGAATGTTTATTTACGCATGCGCCAACCGCCACTCAATTATAAACAAAAACTATGTGGGTGCGATTTATTTTCACCACACGTACTTCTACAGAGCTGCGTAAGGACTGATTTCGGATGCATAAAATTTCACTCGATAGTGCAGCAACACATTAGAGGCCACATTCTACATTCAAGATAGACGCTTTTTGTGCACCAATCAATAGCGGCATGAAGCTCTGCTTATAGCTTCAGAATGCTATCATCTATTGGAGGCGGCTGGAATAAGTTATCGGGAAAGCTGTGTGATCTCATCTACGGTTCGATCGAATCGCCAGACACAGTACAGCAGCCCCCGAGACGCATCGAACTTTTTTTGCACGTTGCGGCTACATAAGTTTGCATGCTCTCATTGCATTTGCAAAAAGCCAACGTATATTGCGCTTTCATCCCTCTTATTTATATCCAACATTTGTATCCTATAAGGCATGTCAGCTTGGGGCAATGCTTTCCGCATTTTCCGTAAATGATGGTTGGTCTCTTCGGTGTAAATGATGGTGCTACCAACTTCTTCGTCATGTGGCGCTTTCTTCATGGAGCTGAATGTTCTTGCGCTTGCTCTCTTGTCTGTTTATGCACTACAATGTAAGGCATGTATGAATAACCGAAGCCGTCGTTGAGTGAGTGACTTGACAGTGTGCCTTTAAGGCGGCGAACACTGGCTCGATTCCCGGTGCTGCCTATTATCGGGAACGTAACAACATAAGTGATAGTTTTAAAATACCAGTTTTTTATTTTAAATGTATTTAACACTTCTATGTAAATTCCTTTAAACGGGTGTTTTATTGCGGCAAGTTGTTTTCTAAATCTGACTAAAGTTTCGACAAAGCACAAAACACATGCTAATCCAGTTCGGACGCAGTATTTTAAGTATATTTTTACCTTTCTATTATGCATTTTGATTACCAGTTTGGTTAGTGTGCAGATAAGCAGATGGAACAATAGTTTTGTCATATTGGCTGATCGTAAAGTACATATAGGTTTCGCTATTGCAGTTACTTAGGTTTGTATAGAAGATTTCGAAGTGTTGTTTCAACAAGGCATTGTTTTAGTCCTTCTTAAAAATATTATTGGGCAGCTGATCGCTAATAATCACCTTCACAGCGACAATACAATACAAAACAGGTTATAGTTGTTTCTATATACTAAGGGGAAATCATAAGAAACAGTATGTGTGCAGTGCGATTGCATTATAGGTTTGAATAACGTCGACTTTCAGTTAACAGGGAAATCTTTGTGGTGTACGGGTTAGGTGGTGAGCCTATCCAAGACCAACAGTTGCTTTGACCTAAAGAACAAATGACATATAGCCTTTATCACTTGACCTCTATACCGCATGTCGGATAACTATTCCAATGTGCAGAGAGTATACTACCACTTCTCCATGTCGAGGCTTAAGTCCCAACGTTAGAACTACATTTCCCGATTTGTTGTTATTTAAACACGCACAGTATGTTCCCAGCTCATATATGTCGACGCCTGTTTTGTGTCGATTCGCTGCAGTTGGCCTTTATTGTTATTTTATAGACGTGTTTCCATGTGCAATTAAACCGGGAAAAACTAAGTACACTACATTTATTTATGCGTGCTCTGGGGCACAATTGTATGGGATTGGTGTAATTGGTCTTGCTGTGAGCGTGCCGTGAGCTGCACATATCAGGCACCTTCTCTTTATGATAATAATATTTGGCGTAGAAAACACCACGCAAAATACCTCGATGTACCCCCCGCAGGATGCAGGTCTTCCAGGTGGGTCACAGGATACGATCGCACCCATCTAAACATGAGATATTCGGTCTACACCAGATATTTATGTAAAGTGTAATAACGCCGCTCATATTTTGTTAAAAGTGGTGCTAGATTTGACACTCAGTAAACTTGCTAAATGGTCGTTAAGATACAGCCAAGGCACGCGCGATTTTTGATGTGCAGCAGAGTCATTTTTCACCCTGATGTGTTTACGACCAATGGGACAGGGGATGATTAAGCGGAATATCTGCGAGAACTTATCAAATATGTTTATGACCGACAGACACTGGGTCACACACTTAACTGAAGCGTTGCATTTTTAACGACGCGTGCGGGCCCCGTCACCAGGGCAGCCACTAAAAGCTGGATGTTGTCCCCGGGAAAAGCAGGAATTGAATAGTTCCCGAGACTGAACCTCCCGCTGGCACTAGCACCGCAAGGCTGAGGCGGAAGCAAATGCCTGCGGTCCCCGAGGTCACAGTGCGTAGCCTCACGCTATAAATGTTCCAGTGCCATACCGTCCCATGGCGAGTACTTATATAGGCTGAGGCATGTCATTGCCGAGATGATGCTAACTACATTCATGAAGTGATGTCCGCGCTGAAGCTGAAGAGCACGCATGCATTGGACGAAGTACGTTTGGCTGTAGTTGTGCAAACAAAGATAAAGAAGGCGTTCTTCTGGAGAAATTTAGGCAACCTGCACAGAATAACTCTCACGGTGCCAGCCATTCATTAATCACAATATATGCTCCTTTCAATGGTGTTCGGTGCGGTTACCACCACCATGGGCACCGTCATTTGAGTTTTTGTTGTTTACGTTTTATTCTTGTTTTTAAATGCGAAGCATTTCTTAGCGAACTTTCGTGACTTCGAATATATCTATCTATCTATCTATCTATCTATCTATCTATCTATCTGTTATAACCGGCCCCCACGGCTGAGCCGCGCCCCGAAATGCACGAACAGAGTGGCCAGGGCAAAAAACGAGCGTTTATTGTCCGGCTTGGGTTTTTATAAGAACGAAAAGTAAGGGAAGGGGAAGAGGGAGATAAGATAGAAGGCGCGCGCAGCGTAGACTGGCAGCGCTTGTTTAGCGGTGGCGAACAGTTCGTGGCATTCCTTCTCCCTTAGAATCCATAACGCTCCACTGCCTTCTTGATACGTGTGGAACGTCTTAGCTCTGGGGGCGGGTGGCCCGGAAGACCGGGGCCAGTAGCCGTAGGAGCTTCGCAGTCTTGTACTGGAGGTTCCAGGCTTATCTGGGGACTAATGAGAGCCTCTGGACTCGACGGTTCTTCGATTCTTCTCCGCCTGAGCTGGTCCATGTGCCGGTGAACAAGCCCGTTCTCCGTGTCGACAGACACGATGCGTGCACCAGAGGTTGACCGGACCTTCCCAGGTGTCCACTTGTCACCAAGGCCGTAATTGCGAAGGTACACAGGATCTCCCGGTGCGAAGTTCCACTCGGCGCTGTCAGCAGAGTGGACATCCCCTGTTGCTCGGCTCCTGGGAGGAAAACACATGTCTAATCGGGTGCGGAGCTGGTAACCCAACAACATTTCCGATGGTGAGCGCCCGGACGGAAGCGGCGTGTTTCTATAGCGGCACAATGTTCTAGCCAGCGCCCTTGACAAGTCTGCGTCCCCACACTTCTTTAGTCCGTCTTTGATAGTTCGCACCGCACGTTCGGCGAGTCCATTACTCTGTGGATGGTAAGGGGGTGCCCGCACGTGAACTACCCCGTTCTGTTGCAAGAACTCCTTGAACTCCCATCCGGTGAATGGCGTGCCATTATCAGACACTACTGTGTGTGGCAGACCGAATCTACTGAACAGCGTTCGCAGGGCATCGACTGTGTTGCGCGAGGTCGCGTGAGCCAGGGGAATGGCCTCAATTCATTTACTGCGAGAGTCCACGACCACAAAAAGCATCTTGTTTTGGATCGGACCCGCGAAGTCGACATGCAATCGCGACCATCTTTCCTGCGTCTCTGGCCAGCGAATGGGTGCTTGCGTGGGTGGCATGGGCAACGCCTGTACGCAGTGCTGACACACAGCGGCTAAGCGCTCAATATCGTGGTCCAAGCCAGGCCACCAAAATTTTGACCGTGCAACTGCCTTAATTGCAGAAACTCCTTGATGAGCTCCATGTAATACCTTCAGTAGCTTCTCCCTGGTTTCCGCCGGAACCACAACACGATGACCCCAGTGAAGCAAGTTATGCTGCACGGACAGCTCGTTCCGCCTTTTGTGATACTCCCGCATCTCTGTGCCTTCCTCCGCAGTGCTTTGTGGCCAACCTTGGATGACGTATCTGCACACACTTGACAGTACGCCGTCTGACTGCGTGAGGGCTTGAAGCTCTTTCATGTGCACCGCCGGCTCGTCCCACTGGTCCACGACGAGGACGTACTCGGCCGCATCCTCGTCGTCCTGCAGCTCCTGTTCAAGAGATTGGGGTAACCAGCTCAATGCATCCGCGTTGAGCATAAATTTTCCCGGCTTGTACTGCAGTTTATACTTGTATGCACCAAGTAGTAGCACCCATCTTTGTATTCTGGCTGCCGCCATGACGGGGGTCTGACGGTCGTGCCTTAACAGGCCCAGCAACGGCTGGTGATCCGTAACCAGAGTGAACTCTCGGCCCAACAGGTAGTCCCTAAACTTAGTAACACCAAATATCAAGGCTAACGCCTCGCGCTCGATCTGAGAGTACTTTTTTTCGGCAGTTGTCAGCGTTCTCGATCAAAAGCCTACGGGTCGCTTCTCGCCTTCGGTGTGATGAAAATGTGCAGCACCAACTCCGTATGGGGACGCATCACACTCTAAGAAGAGCTCACGGTTCGGATCAAAATGAGTGAGTATGGGTGCCGCGCACAACGCATTTTTCACCTGGACAAAGGCTTTCTTTTCGTTGGTGCTCCACGTCCACTTAGCGCCCTTTTTCAGCAGTTTGTACAACGGCGCTAGAATGGTAGACAAGTCGGGCATAAACTTGTTATAAAAGGTTACCATGCCCAGAAATGAGCGTAGCTCGCAGACGTTCTGTGGAGAGGGGGCTAGCCTGATAGCATCCACGTTCTTTTCCATGGGATGCAGTCCGTTCGCGTCAATACGGTGACCTAGATATGTAACAGAGGGCTCGCTAACGCGGCACTTATCAGCACGAAGCTTAATGCCATGTTCACGGAAGCGCTCGAGCACAGCCATCAGATTGCGGTTTTCGCTGTCACCCTCTTCCGCTATCAACACGTCATCTAGGTACGCTTGCACCCCAGGCAAGCCCTGTAGGATTGATTCAATTCGCCTTTGAAATATCGCCGGTGCCGAAGCAATCCCAAACGGGAGGCGGTTGAAGCAAAAGAGGCCCTTGTGGGTGTTTATCACGGCCAATTTGCGAGACTCTTCGTCTAGCGGGATCTGGTTGTAGGCGTCGCGCAAATCCAAAATGCTGAACCGCTCCCCCACACCTAATTGCGCAAAAATATCCTCGATAAGAGGCAGCGGGTATTGTTCCAGCTCGCATACTAAGTTCAAAGTAACCTTGAAGTCACCGCAAATGCGAACTGTGCCGTCTTTCTTTAAGACTGGAACAATGGGTGTAGCCCATTCCGAGTGCGTCACTGGTGATATAATGCCAGCTGCCACGAGTCGATCTAATGCCTCTGAAACTTTATCCAACAGAGCGTAGGGTACCTTTCTTGCCTTGAAGAACTTTGGCGTCACTCCAGGCTTGATGTGAAGGCGCCCCGGTGGGCTTTTCATGAGTCCTACGCCATCCGTGCACAGGTCGGAGTAGCGGTCCAACACAGCAGGCGTGGGCGGAGACTCCGGGCTCGCCCCGAGTGGTGGTGCAGCTACGTGGAGTACTGCTGCGCCCTGCTCTTGTAGTTTCTGCAGCAAATCACGACCGCACAGGAGAGGACCTTCGCAGTCCAAGACGATTAGGTTGCAATCAACCTCCGCCGATTTGTGGCATACACGCATTGACAGTACTCCGAGTACGCGTAGCTTCCCCAAATAGCACGCCAGCTTTATCTTCGGCTCCTGCAACTTCGGCCATTGATGACGGTGGGCTTTGTAGGTTGCTCTAGGAATGACGCATACGGGCGAGCCGGTATCCCCGTCCATCTTCAGCTTTACGCCGTTCCACGTGAACGTTTCCTGAATCGGTGGCACCAATAAATTCTTCGATGTTACGGGCCAAAGTTGCGACGCACTGCTATCACTGTCGGTGGCTTGGGCTGTTACATTCAACGCGTTGTTGATTCTTTGGCACATGCGTGCCAAGTGCCCTTGTTTTCCACATTTGTAACAGTGCCTCCCACACATGGAACAGGTCTCGCGCTTATGATTACGCTTTCCGCAGCACTCGCATGGCTTTCCGTCTTCGTTTTTCTTCTGGCCTCGCGGCACCCAGCGTTGCTCTTTCATTGCCGACACTGTTACCGGGGGCGTTTTTCGATTTATGTTCTCCGCATCTAACTCTGCCCTTTCTGCCGCCAACGCAAGTGCCTCTGCTTCTTGTAATGTCAACTCAGGTTTCGCGAGCAGCTGCTTTTGCAAATTTCTTGCAACGTACCCCGCACACGATACGGTCTCTTAACATCCTATCCAGCATGGACGAGAAGTTGCAGTTATGCGCTAGGCACCGTATTTCCACAATGAATGCGTGAACAGACTCTCCTTCCTGCTGGTTTCGGTGGAAAAACTTGAGAAGCTTTCTGAAATTTCGTTTGGTCGTGGGTCATAATACTCGCTTAGAACTTTCACTACCGCATCGTAGCCGAGTGCGTTTGGCTTCTGCGGTGCCACTCTACCGCATAGTACATCAATCGTTCGCGACCCAAGTGCGGCTACCAACAGGGCTCTTTTCCTGGCATCATCAGTGACTTCGTTTGCTTCAAAATAAGCCTCAACCTTCACGAGGTACGCTTGCCACTTATCTGTGTCGTCGTTGAATTCCGGGAGGCGGTGACTCATGGCTGTCGATGTGGTGGCTGCTTGCCCGCCTTCAGGAAGCAGCTGGGTCTCGTTCTTTGTGGAAATCCTCGTCGCCACTGTTATAACCGGCCCCCGCGGCTGAGCCGCGCCCCGAAATGCACGAACAGAGTGGCCAGGGCAAAAAGCGAGCGTTTATTGTCCGGCTTGGGTTTTTATAAGAACGAAAGGTAAGGGAAGGGGAAGAGGGAGATAAAACAGAAGGCGCGCGCAGCGTAGACTGGCTGCGCTTGTTTAGCGGTGGCGAACAGTTCGTGGCACTATCTATCTATCCTCTTACGTTTGGGTGCTCTCGTGGTCAACCCCTCTTGGCATGAGCAAAACTTAGCATGAGCGCGTAAGATGGTTTGACGAGTATGACGCCCTGGTCAAGACATAAAAAATGTCACAATCTCGTCGCATACGTCGTCAAACACTTCTCGCCAGACAGTGGCACTTACTCGTGGGCGGGTACATGCCGCTAGTATGCGGATCTGTGCCACAGGTCATTGACACTTAGTATATACCCCAAAACGACGAGAACACACATGGGCAGTTTTAACGTGCGATCGTCAAGAAATACCCGACATCAGTAGCATTGACCAAACGAATGCAAATAAATGCAAATAATAAATGTCAGGGTCCCGGCTGGAATCGAACCCAAGCATTCTGCGTGGCAATGAAGCATTTTACCACACAGCTACGACGGGTCTCGAAACTGCTTTTCGAATGGACGCTTATCTTCATAAAACGTCAATAGTGGTTGCAGTGCTGTCTACCCAATTTTATAAACATTACATTGATACATCCATCATGTCGGGTTAACGTCAATTGTGGTTAGCTGCCACGCGCTGAGGCTGATTTATGTAGCAGTATTCAGGGCCAGCATCCTCGCGAGCATCAGCGTTTCAAATCAGCTTCAGGGGTAGCTAATAAGCATGTTACAGTTGGCACCATTGTGCAAGTGCTAGCAACTGGTTATATGAATATCTGCAACTGTTCAACACATGTCTGTGCGTGCAATGTTTGTACATATATTTAGGGTCATTTCATCACGTCTTGTTCTGTAAAAAAATTCCAACGCGGTCACTTTCACTTTGCACGCTTCGCATAACGTTGATTCCCAGGTATGTAGGATCTGCTGGACTTTTGTGATTTTTGTTATTATCCTTCCAACAGCGGCGGCGAAATCTCAGTTTACACATGTTTTTTTTTTAAATTTTGTTTCTTAATTTTGCCACTAAATTGTGCAGCACCTCTGAGCGACGGGACATAAACAATGGCATACGCTCACAACAAAGCACCAACATTGAACAATGAATGTTAGTCTTTCTTCTGGTAGAATGAATACAGATAATTGAGCGAGGAAAGATACATCAAATGAAAAAGATAGCTAATAAAAAATCACCACCGAAGCGCCCTCTAACCATCGAAAGCTCAAACGTGCGCCCCCAGTACTTACCATTGGGTTCAACCCGACGCTGCACTGAAGCCTTTCACAATTATTGGTTACACGTTCGTGCTTCTTAATGAGGTTCAACACACATTTGGCTTGGGTTTACCACAGCGTTTATTGAAATTGCCACACAGTGTGCCTTGTAGGTTCACGGTCATGACTCATGAAGGAGTTTTGGGTGCACGTTAAAGAAACCCAGGTGGTCGAAATTTTCGGAGCTCTCCACTACGGCGTCTCTCATAATCATATGGTGGTTTTGGGACGTTAAACTCCACATATCATTCAATCAATCAATCATGAAGGAGTGTAATGCGTTAATCACAGAGGTTATTCTCGAACTACGGGTGGTCACAGACGTCACAGCCGAAGCAGTGCCGCTTGAGAAAGTTCCGCCAAAAGCGGGCGTTCACACAAGCGAGGGCCTCCTGCTCCGGCAAATGCACCGTGCCGCAGTCATCGAGAAGATTGCTGGAGTGTCAGCGTCAATGTGCACGATGAAGCAGTTTTGGCCGCCACGCCATTCGTTTGCCCGCGTTGTTGCAAGCGTTTCTCCGCCTAGAGGCAGCGGGCTATCCTGATTCGTTGCTAGTTTCTGTTTGTGAGAAGCTGCGCAAACAGAGTACGTAACGATGGGGACGCTTAACAAGAAACAACTCTCAAGAAGGTGGTGGTGATACCGTATCTGCATGGTATCTCGCATGAACTGAAGAAAATAGGCCAAAGAGCGGGCGTCTCCGCGGTTTTTTTTCCACACCGAATAAATTGTCTCAGTTATCTGTTGCAGCTAGTCCCGTAGGAACTACCGCAAACAACTGCAAGATTAAGCACCGTACAAAGTTTGTTGATTGTGCAACAAGGATTGTTTATGGTTTACCTCTGTCTTGTGGACTAAAGTACGTAGGCCAGTCAGGCAGATGCTTTATTGTAAGACTTCAAGAACATTGTCAGAACGTAAGAAGTGTAGGAAGAGATGATTTTGTGGCCGCTCATTGTTCCAAATGTGGGTGCCAGCCATTGTTCGAAATAGCAAGGATTCTCGGGTTCCACCCTAACGAAGGCACAAGACTTGTAATCGAAGTTGCAGCAACCGCTCGAGACTGCTGCATCAGCAAGCTATGAATAGCTTTATCTGAAAAACAATTGGCGTATTTAAATTCGGCACGTGAGAGTCCGGGGTGAGCACGTGGTTTCTTGCAGTCTCTTTTTACTTTTTAGAGTTGTGTGTTTTTGTCTTTTGCTTAAGCAAGTGATCTTATCTTCTTTTATTCAACATATATATGTGCGTCTTAGTAGTAATAAATCAGTTGAAAATCTGCGCTCATCCTCGGCTCTTGTGTTTTTTGTCGGAAGTTTTTCGCGCTGAGCAGTTTAATAATCATTAATCCTAGCCGGTGATAGGAGGTGGCCCGCAAGGACAGAAGAGGGGAGGGGTGATATGATACAGGCATTGGGGGCCGGGCGCGATCTACTTAACCACCATTCCTCTGGATCCGCGACTGCACCAAACCGGACTACTTCACAAAGATGTACACATGCAGAAGCTCCTCCCTCATAGCTTCTTCTATATTACCCATAAAAACTGCCCGCTAGTGTAGGGCAAAAATTTTAGGTGTCTCATCAACCGCAAAAATTGCAAAATTGACCACCAGCGTCACCACGAGGGATGAAAGAAATCTTCGTAATGTAAAGGCGTCAAATTCGTCAGCGTCAATGTCACGTAGAGATGAAAATTGTCCCGTCATTACGATGTCAGGAGATGCCAGCACACAGCATCATTGCTCGGTCGAGGGTGGACCGATTGTGAAGGCAGTGCGAAACTGCATTAGGCAAGCAAAGTTTCGGTGCGTGGTAAAACAGGATGAATTACTGAAGAGTAAAGAACCGCAGGATTTAGCTCGATACAAGTCTGTGCAAAACCGGCTAAACAAAGAAATTAGGGTATCGAAGGTTGCCTACTACCAGCACCTGTTTGATAAAAACCTCGCTTGCAACCCCAAAAAAAATGGAAGAGGCTAGCAGCACTTCTGAACAGAAACACACTGTCCCAGCAAATCAAAAGTCTGAACAGTTGGCAGGGAACTGACAGGTTCCTGTCTCGCCAATGTTTTCAATAAATGTTTCTATGAAGTTTGTGACGGTAACCACAACCCTAATTTTTACCGTTTTCTGGGTGACAGGGCGGGACCATCTCTGCTTCTTGAACCTACTGATGAAGTCGAAGTTTTCTTCACTGTGCAGTAGACTGAAAGATACCCAAAGCTTTGATTCATGTATTGTTCAAAGCCGGCCGGTAAAGTATGTGCTGCCTTTCATTGTGCCTTGTCTTCTGCACATTTTTAACTTAGCACTCAAGTTGGGACGATTTACGGTTAGAATTCAACGTGCCAGAGTAGCGGTAATTTACAAAAAAGGCGACAAAAATGTACCTGGAAATTATAGGCCAATATCTGTGCTCCCATTTTTGTCGAAGGGGCTCGAACGCTTAATTTATCGACAGTTATATAACTTCCTTTTAAAATACTCTGTACTGGTTGATTGCCATTATGGCTTC